TTCATCTTTTCAGTCTTTTGGTTATCTTCCTCAATTCTTAGTCTTACAATAAGTTCATCCATGGTCATTTTTTTGCGTTTATGTTTTAAATAATTTTTGAAATCTTTCCAAGCCGGTGGTAACTTTTCCACTAAAGCAGCGACTTGGAAAGACTCGCTTAGAGACGTACCCTCAGAATGAATATCATGTAAAATTAATTGAAAACTTTGAACTTGAGAAATTACCGTTTGGGAGTCTATCATAACGAAGTCCAGAAATTTACCGATGACAAATTTCTTCGTGCCGGCATCCTCTGTCTTGCATTTCTTCTCCAAAGAATCCCATAATTCTTTTGCTGTTTTCAGAGGATTGTATACATTATATAGCATATTATCAAGGCCATTGAGGATGTAATTTCTGCACAGGAAATCTGAATGTTTCCAAGCATCTATAGCGGCAACAACTTGCTGATCACTTTCACCCTTTTTAAGTGCTGGAGCCTCTTCATGGAGAAACTGAGCCAAATTAAAAGTTGTAAGATAGAACAGCATCTTCTGCTGCCATCACTTAAACTCAGTACCGTTAAATTTTTTCGATTTTTCTCCATGATTTATTGGTACATGAACATGGTTCTGGATAGGGACCGGTGTTAGTGTAACAATCGAAGTACCACTACCAGTTGTAGTTTCAGTTGCAGTAGCCATAATCTCTGATTACAAAAATCAGGAAAAATTAAATCAAAAATTAATTTTCTAGTTACTAAAACCAGAAAATAAATTATAACACGAAATAATTTTATTTTCCTTGTTACTAAAACTGGAAAAATAAAATACCACAATAATTTTCTGTAACACAAATTAATATTCTACAATTGTTAATGACACTAGTATATTACTACTAGTTGTCAAAGAAAAGAGACAGTATATTACTACTATCTGTAAAATAGCATAAACCACTATTTCTTTTTCAAACCAGAATATGTCTTTATGAAATCACAGAAAATTAAATATAATGAAGATACCAAAGAAAAAAATAGTCTGTCTTAAGATTGTTGGACAATCTTCGCTGTATTTAAATAGATTAAATTCTGTTGTGTACTAAATAACAACAAGAATAAAAAGAAATAAAGGAAATGAGAGAATTTGTTTGATTACAAAAATCAAATTAGAAATAAATAAATAAATAAAAACAGATTTTATTTTGTTACAAAAACAAAATTAAAATCTGATTTAATAAACAAATAAAACAGAATAATGAATTAAACAACTTACTTGATTAATTTCTTCTAATAAATATCTGATCAAGTCCAATGTTTAACACTGTGTCCTTAAGACAGATTCGTCCTCTCTACGGTGCTTTCAGAATATGGACGTCTATCTCCCAGGATGAAATGATCAACTACAAACAATAGCAGCACTACAAATTGTTTGCCTAACGAACACACTAAATGAGGGCTGTCTTATTTATAAGTGTTTATATTCTTTCTCACAAAAATTACATGCAGCAAAATGAAGAATAAATTTGCAGAGGTGAAGTATGAATTTTCTGAATGTGTAAACATCAAATGAGGGCTGTCTTATTTATAGATGTAGTAGTGGCTGCAGGTTTTGAATTAAACAGGTGCAAACCTGTTTGGTTTTGAATTTAAGCAGACTTGAGTTTGTTGGGTTAAAAAATTTAAACAGATTAAAAACGAGAAGGGCCATGTTTGGGTGTACAGTAAAAACCAGATCAGTTTATTTTTGGAATTAATTTGAATTCTGGATTTTATTTTACCCAAAAATATAATAAAATTCAAATGTTTTTGACCCAAAAAGAAAGGTGTTGGGCCGAACAAGCCCAACCCAACCCAACCTCACACCACACACCCAAGCCCAGGCCTAGCTCGCATGTGTGGTGATTTTTGGATCTAATGGGTCTAGTCCATTTTGCCCATAACCTCTCTCTCTAAAACACTTGGGTACCCCTTGGGGCACACCCCAAGTTCCAATTCCATGTTTTATAAACCTATTCAAAACTTTCCACCAAATCAATGCGGGACAAGCTTTATTCAAACCTTTAAGGATTTTTCACCAAAACTCCATTTCCATAGAGCATACTTTGGCTTCAATTTCCCATTCACTCGGTAATGGTTTTGAGCAACCAAATATATCACGTGAATCACAACACGGCATAGAACGCGTTACCATTTTGACCCGTGAAAATCGACGCTCGGATCCCACCTAAAAATTAGATCAAAGTTAGAAAAAAATTCTGATTTACCCAGAATTTTTCCAAATCATTTCCAACATGATTTTCTAGCATGAATATGAATTTATTTATTCTATTTGATCCCACAATTCATACAACAAACCTAAACCTTAAAATTAATAAATAAAACTCTTATCACATACCTAATATATTATATATAATAAAAATTTCATTAAATTTTTTTTTAAAATTTTAATTATTAAAATTGATAAAACTTACCATTAATTTCAAATTATTTTTAAAAATATGTACTGAATTGTAATTAATAACTAGTTACTTTAAAAAAAAAGCAAAGGTTCGTCGCAAACATACTTGCGCGTCGAGTGTTGATTAATGGTGTTGCGGGTCCAAACACGTGCCTCTCATGGCTTTAAATAATAATTTTAGTTAAAATCATTCACAACCATACTTTATTTATAAACAAATCATACATTAATGAATGTGAGCCAAAAACAGATACGTCCCATGTCTTTAATGTTTCATTTAAATGAAATTTCTTCTTTTTAGTCGGTTATTTGTTAAGTATATGATTAAATTTAAAATTTATTATTTTTAAATTATATATTTTGACTTTTATATTATGATAGTGGTGGTGGTGATAATATGATGGTTATGATGGTGGTGGTGGTGGTGGAGGCGGTGTTGGTGTTGGTAGTGGTAGTGGTAGCGGTAGCGGTGATGTGGTGGTTGTGGTAGTGGTGGTGGCATGATGATGGTGACAGTGATAACAGTGATGGTGTTGGCGGCATGATGGTGGAGGTAACGGCGGTAGTGATGGTGGCATGGTGGTGGTGGTATAGCGGTGGATGATGGTAGTGGTAATAATAACGGTGGTGGTAGTGAATTTAAAATAATATATGTCAATGCTTATGTTTCATTTTATAAATTCAATTAGAATTAAGTAAGTTTGATAAGATTTAAAATTTACATAAGCTTTAATTTACATTTTATGAGGTAGTTAAATTTTAAAGTGATATCAATTGTAATTATCAAATAGACTTAATTGATTATCACTTAATCAATTTAATTTTAAGTGCTGAATCATATTATCAAACACCCCCTTATTTGTTAATATTAAAATTTGATATAACTCAATAGTAATTTTTAAAACAAAAAATAAACTTATTGATAATTTTTGTGTTGTAATTTATGATTTTTTTAAAATTCATATCATAGATTTTAAAATTAAAAAATATAATTTTACTTAGATTTAAAATATTTATAAAATTATTATTCATATTAAATGAGGGATAAAATTAAAATAACAAATACCATTATGAAACAATGAACTTTTTTAAAATATTTTATGAAAATTAGGATTTAGAATTGAATAGTGATCTTTAAGTAGGGGTGTTCGTAGTTCAATTGTGCTGAAAAACTTTTAATTTGCCATCCATCCGTTGAATTGGCGGATTGAAAAAAATCAATCTGCATCCGTCCATTGGATTGACCGATGCGAATTGAGCAGATTGGCAGATTGATGCGAATTGGTTTGGCGATTTAATCTTTTACAAATTTTGAACACAATAACTCAATATAACCAAAAGATTATCAAATAAGGGTCGTGCTACGTAGCTCGAAAGGGCGTCCCCCTTAATCCCCCGAAACAAAAAACGACGTCGTTTTGTATTTTTGAAAAATTTTTTTTGGTTCAATCAGAGAAGAAGAAGCAGACGAAGGGAAGAAGAAGAAGAAGCAGAGGCAGACGGCGGCGAAGGACTGGAGGGGGCCAAATAAATTGGGGTGGAGGCGGAGGCGGAGGCGGAGGCGGAGGCGGAGGCGGGCAGAGGCAGGGGCTGCAAGGTCTCATATATATATATATGTGTGTGTGTGTGTATATATAGATCTGTGTATACACACAGATCTAGTATTGATGATGATGTGTTAATGGGATGAGTGCATGAAGAAGATAAAGGAAAAAAAAGAAAAGAAAATGCGCAAAACGACGTCGTTTTGGGCATTAGGGAGATTCGGGGGGAAAGAATTCGAGCTCTGAAACATTATTCATCAAATCAATTGTCAAATACCAATAATAAATACATAAAAGAAAATCATGCATTATCAAAACTATTTCATTGCTTTTTTTTTATTCAAAAACTATTTAATTTGTTTTTTTTTAAAATGACAAAATAAAACCTTATATTTTCTATACAAAAATACCAAATATCAACATTTGTCATTTGATAAAAGGATTTTTAAATTGAAAACAAATTAAAAACACAACAGAATATTTAAACTTTTTTTCAATAGAAAATACAAATAGAATATCTAAACAAATTGAAAAATAAAGTTTTACATAGGAGTGCCCGCGGTTTGGCGGTTCGGTTGATGTCAAAGGAACCTCAAATCCACCATCCGTGCAAAACTAGGCAGATTAGAAAAAATCAATCCGCAACCATCCGCTCATTATCACTTATTCGTCCAAAATAAAAAATGATTGGGAGCTCTAATTAGAGCTCCTACTAATGATGTGGCAGTGGGTCCCACCCACTGCCACAGTATGTGTTGTGCATGTTTGTTTTTTTGTTTTTTTTTTTTTTTTTTTTTTGGCTTTTCCACCTCATTAGTGGTGGGTTTAGAACCACCAAATTAGTGATTTTTAGCATGATTGGACCAAAATACGACGGAACGGTTCGGTTCAATCAGTTTAGATGGATCGAAATATCCAATATTCATCCCTATCTTTTAAGTCCAAAATAAGATTTATTGGTTATTTTTTAGCCAAAATAATAATAAAAGATAAAAATAAAATAAAAAAGGAAATAACAATTTAATCGATGAGTTCGTGACTGAAGGTCTGAGAGGAAAGTTGGATTCTCAACGGGGTCTCAAATCCAAAGTAACTCGTCTTCTGTTTCGCTTAAAAATGGGGCATAAGATCATAGATATTAAGGATGAGTTAGATGCTATTGCAAGCGAGATAACTACGCTTCATTTGAGGGAGATTGTTGTGGAAACTGAAGTTCATGAGATGGAGAGAGGACAAACTAGTTCACTCGTTAATGAATCGGAAATTTATGGGAGAAATGATGAGAAAGAAGAGATAATTAAACTTTTGATCGACAATTTCAGTTGCGATGATGATGTTTCTGTTTATGCTATTTGTGGTACGGGGGGACTTGGAAAGACTACACTTGCTCAATTGGTCTACAATGATGGAAGGATAAAGTGGCACTTTGAGTTGCGTATTTGGGTTTGCGTCTCTGATGTTTTCGATGTAGAGAGACTAATAAGAGCAATCCTAGAGTCCATACAAGGCCATCGATGTGATATCTCTAACTTGGATCCACTTTTGCATCACCTCCAAGAAAAATTGGGCGGTAGGAAATTTTTACTTATCTTGGACGATGTTTGGAATGAGTACCATGAGAAATGGGATGGGCTAAAACAAGCTCTGAGGTGTGGAGCTAAACGCAGTACTATTATAGTAACCACAAGGATTCAGAAAGTTGCTCTTATTATGGCTACAATACTTCCTATACGCCACTTGGCTTATTTATCGGAGGATGATTCTTGGTCCTTATTTAAGCAACGTGCTTTTGGCAACAGAGGAAGGGAGGAAAACATTCAATTGGAATTGATTGGGAAGGATATTGTGAAAAAATGTGGAGGATTACCCTTAGCAATAAAGGCTCTAGGAAGCCTTATGCAATTTAAAAGCAGTGAAAGTGAGTGGTTATCTGTGAAGGAGAGTAAAATTTTGGATTTATCAGATGGTGGAAATGTTGTCTTACCTGCTTTGAGATTGGTCCTTATTTAAGCAACGTGCTTTTGGCAACAGAGGAAGGGAGGAAAACATTCAATTGGAATTGATTGGGAAGGATATTGTGAAAAAATGTGGAGGATTACCCTTAGCAATAAAGGCTTTAGGAAGCCTTATGCAATTTAAAAGCAGTGAAAGTGAGTCGTTATCTGTGAAGGAGAGTAAAATTTTGGATTTATCAGATGGTGGAAATGCTGTCTTACCTGCTTTGAGATTGAATTATGAAGCTTTGCCTCCACATTTGAGGCAATGTTTTGCTTATTGTTGCATATTCCCCAAAGACTATACAATGAAGAAAGACGCGTTGATAGAGATGTGGATGGCGAATGGTTTTATTCCATCTAGAGGACAAACAACTTTGTATGATATGGGCCATCAGATTTTTGATCAATTGGTTTGGAGGTCTTTCTTACAAGATGTGAAGGAAGAGCAAGGTGAAACAACATGTAAAATGCATGATCTTACGCATGATCTTGCGGAATCAATTATGAGACACGAATGTTTTATCATGGACTCTCGTAAGGGGCTGAAACTACCAAAAAAGGTTCGTCACTTGTCTTTTAATGTAAGTTCAACACCGATGATTCATTGTAATGAGGTTATGTTTAAAGTTCCATCTTTGCGGTCTTGCATTTTACTTTCAAACCAATATTCTTGCAAGGACAATGATTTTTCTTGGATTTCAAAACAGAAGTATCTTAGGTTGTTAGATTTGAGTGGCAAAATTGACGAGAAGGTAGCAGTGTCAATTTCCAATTTCAAGCATCTTAGGTTCCTCAACATGTCATACTCTTACATAAAAACCCTACCAGAATCAATAAGTGGTCTCCAACACCTGCAAACATTGAAACTAAATTATTGTGAAGAGATTTGTAAGTTGCCCAAACGCTTGAAGCATATGAGAAATCTCACATGCCTAGACATCAAAGGGTGTGACTCCCTGACTTCTATGCCTACTAATAGGGGACAATTAACTTGTCTACAAAGACTAAGCATATTCATTGTGGGCCAAGATGAGGGTTACCAAATTAGCGAGCTGAAGGAATTAAATCTTGGGGGAGAGTTGAGCATAAAGGAGCTTGAAAACGTAAGAAATTCAGAAGATGCGAAAAGAGCCAATTTGAAGAGCAAACTTGATCTTATTTCTTTGAATTTATGTTGGAGCGATAGCAACAAAGAAAGCATACCAAAGAATGTTGAAGAAATTCTTGAGAATCTTTGACCTAATTCGAATCTGAAGAAGTTGAGCATAAGTTTCTACCAAGGTTCAAGGTTTCCAAATTGGATGACAGGTTTGGTTCTTAAAAATGTGGTTGAGATCTCTCTAGAATCTTGTAGATGTGAACGTCTTCCGCCTCTTGGGAAACTAACCTCCCTAAAAATTCTCAAGATCAGTTCCATGGATTCTCTCAAGTACTTTAATCATGAGAGTTATGGAGATGGGGAAGATTCATTTCCTGCATTGGAGATTCTCAACTTCAATGTAATGCCAAGTTTGGAGAAATGGACAATTGTGGATAGAGAAGAAATTTTTCCTTGCCTACGAAATTTACATATAGAGGCATGCCCCAAGTTGACTGAATTTCCTTTTCTTCGAACACTCGAGATATTAACAATTTGGGAAGGAAGCAATGAAAGGTTAATTAGGTCAGTGATAAATGTCACTTCGCTTTCCGATCTTGAGATACTTGGCTCTGAGTTGAAGATTCTTCCAGATAAATTATTTTCCAATTTCAAGCATCTTAGGTTCCTCAACATGTCATACTCTTACATAAAAACCCTACCAGAATCAATAAGTGGTCTCCAACACCTGCAAACATTGAAACTAAATTATTGTGAAGAGATTTGTAAGTTGCCCAAACGCTTGAAGCATATGAGAAATCTCACATGCCTAGACATCAAAGGGTGTGACTCCCTGACTTCTATGCCTGCTAATATGGGACAATTAACTTGTCTACAAAGACTAAGCATATTCATTGTGGGCCAAGATGAGGGTTACCAAATTAGCGAGCTGAAGGAATTAAATCTTGGGGGAGAGTTGAGCATAAAGGAGCTTGAAAACGTAAGAAATTCAGAAGATGCAAAAAGAGCCAATTTGAAGAGCAAACTTGATCTTATTTCTTTGAATTTATGTTGGAGCGATAGCAACAAAGAAAGCATACCAAAGAATGTTGAAGAAATTCTTGAGAATCTTTGACCTAATTCGAATCTGAAGAAGTTGAGCATAAGTTTCTACCAAGGTTCAAGGTTTCCAAATTGGATGACAGGTTTGGTTCTTAAAAATGTGGTTGAGATCTCTCTAGAATCTTGTAGATGTGAACGTCTTCCGCCTCTTGGGAAACTAACCTCCCTAAAAATTCTCAAGATCAGTTCCATGGATTCTCTCAAGTACTTTAATCATGAGAGTTATCGAGATGGGGAAGATTCATTTCCTGCATTGGAGATTCTCAGCTTCAATGTAATGCCAAGTTTGGAGAAATGGACAATTGTGGATAGAGAAGAAATTTTTCCTTGCCTACGAAATTTACATATAGAGGCATGCCCCAAGTTGACTGAATTTCCTTTTCTTCGAACACTCGAGATATTAACAATTTGGGAAGGAAGCAATGAAAGGTTAATTAGGTTAGTGATAAATGTCACTTCACTTTCCGATCTTGAGATACTTGGCTCTGAGTTGAAGATTCTTCCAGATAAATTGTTGCAGAGTCACAAGGACTTGGTGTCATTACGGCTAATTTCTCTGTACAATCTCAAGACTCTGCCAAATCAGCTGGGTTGTCTATCTTCTCTAAAGCTGTTAGACCTTGGTTATTGTCTTCAACTTGAAAATTTGTCAGGACTCGAAAACCTAAACCATTTGGAGACACTGTATATAAGTGAATGTGATAGTCTTACTTCTCTTCCAGTGCAAGGATTGCAAGGCTTGACTTCACTTAGATCCTTAAGTATTCAAAATTGTAAGAAACTAATGTATTTATCTGACGGAATGGGATATCTGACTGCACTCCGGGACTTGCTTATCAATGGATGTCCAGAGATACAAGATTTTCCGACGGATATGCAACATTTGAATGCTCTTCGAGACTTGGAGATATGGAATTGTCAAGGACTACTTTATCTACCAAACTGGCTAGGCAGCCTCCGGTCATTATCATGCTTGGAGATTGAGAATTGCCATAATCTAAAGTGTTTGCCATGTGAGCTGCAGGGTCTAAAGACTCTTAAAAGGATCAAAATTAAAGGATGTCCACTTTTGGAGCACCGGTGCAAGAAAGAGACTGGTGAAGATTGGCTGAAGATAGTTCACATTCCCATTATTCAGATCAATGGTGAACTAGTACAGTCCTTGGATTGTTAATGCGCTATTTTGAAGCAAAGGTATGCATTTTAGTAGCTTTCACTTATTGTCTTAACCTGATGATTGAAAGAAGTTTTCACCAATAGCACTCACTTTCATGTTTTTACATACATACAGCTTGACCCAAAAGTCAAAATGTCTATAATGTTTTTGTTTATTTTGGTTACAAGAAGAAGAAGAAAATCAAAGGAAAGAAAACAAAAATCCACTACCTAGAGACCTCTATCATCTCTTGTTTTTTTTTTTTTTTTCTTCTTCTAAGTTAATGTGAAGAGATGCAATGCTGTGAAGAGATGCGATACTGTAACAGTAGATGGAAGTGTTAGGGAACGGGGTAGGCCTAGATTAATGTTGACTAGCGTTATAAATAGAGATATGAATCTACTTAATTTGACTAATGAAATGGCCTTTGATAGGGCCGCGTGGAGAAGAAGGATTCATGTAGCCGATCCCATTTGATGGGATTTAAGGCTTGGTTTGGTTTGGTTTGGTTTGGTTTTCTTCTTCTAAGTTAATCTCTCAGTTTGCTTGGCTTCTTCTCCATCTCTTCCTGGTTGTGGACCTGTGGTGATTGGCAGTTAGAGGGCTTCTGAGGGATGTTTGTTGTTTCAATACTACTACACTAGGCCTCTCGCTATGTGACTGACTATTTACTTGTCTGCTTGTCTTTTACGTTAGGTTGTATAATTAGAGCTTTTTACCTCTGCTGGATTACTAAAATATTGGAATGACTATTATATGTAGTACTCGAGTTTCAAATGAGCTAGGCTCTGGGAACCCAAAAACGGCTTGAGTGGCTGTACATGCTGTAGTCCTTCTTTTAGTCACTGAGACATTCGTATTGAGCACAAGTCTCTTCTGCAGCCAGTCTATTGTGGGACATGCTTACAGCAATGAGAAGTAAGTTGTGAATTATATTGCTGTGATGACTCCCCTGATTTGTCTAATTTCTGATTAGTATTTTGATTTTTATTTATTTATTTAATTTTCAAAATCTGACTTCAATTTTTGTTATGTTTGCATGATCAGGTATTGCAAAGGAGAGCAGGTGGCACTGTGTAAGGGCTTGTGTCAATCTTGAAGCATTTTATATGAATGGAATACCGGTAGCTGTTATTCTGAGTTTTGTTGTCCATTTGATAGCAAAAGGCTAGGCCTGTCAACGGATCGGGTATAACCCGAATTCGATCCGATTAACCCGATCTATTTACACAAATCCGAATCCGAATATTTGTTTAATCCGTATCCGCATAGCCCAATTTAAAACGGGTCGGATTTGAATAAATCCAATCCAGTCCATTTGTTTGCCCAATCCGATTACATTTAATTCTCAGAAACCAAATCAGATCTCTTATCGTCTCTTCATCATTTCTCATCAAAGAATACCTAGATCTCTCTCATAATCAAATCTCTCTCTCATCGTTTCTTCCTGCTCCGATTGATGCCGATGAACTTAGCCAAATCGAGCTCTATGCTGTTTCTGATCTAGGTGTTCTTCGGTGAGCTCTCTAGTCAGTATCAAATCTATCTGTCATCGTCTTCTTCTCCGACTTCTCTGATCTAGGTATTCTTCGGTGAGCTCTATCATCTGTATGTGTTTGTCATTATATCTACTTTTTACTGCGTTGTGCTTGTGTTTCTCCTTTATATAAGAGGTCTGGTTTGTTTGTTTGAATGAAAAATCAATTCTGAAACATTTTCTTGGATGTTTTTGGGACTCTATATATTTGTTATTTGATGGGTACTTTGGGTTGTTTGTTTGAATGTAATATCATATATTTGTTATCAATTCTGAATCAGTGGGTCGGTTGATTTATTTAAGCAGTTTTAAGTTGGTGTTTTTTGTCTATTAGGTTGTGTTTTTTCCACTCTTTCTCTCACATTTTCCTTTCCATTTCTAAATCATTACCCCAATTCCATGACCCAAACACAGCCTTAGTATCATTTTATCTGCACAAGCAGAGATATGGACAAAATGATGATAATTGACATTAGCATTTCAATTGTTGTTGTATGGTGTTTTTGCTTGGAGGTTGCATAGATTGCTAGAAGTTTGTGGTTAGATTGATTGAAACCTTCATGAACAAAGTCCAGGATTCTTTTAAAAAATTTGTCAACAACACCATGAGTGTCCTGTTCATGGGCATACATTTGAATTTGATCCTGCCATTTTCTATGTCCAATCTGAAAGGCTTGTTAGAGTGATTCATGACTACTTTTTTCCTTCATGATTGAATGCTTCAAATTTTATTGTTTTTGTTATACTCTCTTTTTCAATGCTTGTGTTGCCTTTTAATAACGTCCTTGCTATGATCAACATGCTGCTAAATTATTGATGTTATATTCATAAATTATTAGAGCACCAGATGAGGATACCAAGTCATTCAAAAAAACGAAAAAACAAAAAAAAAGAAGATGGGGATGCGCATCTGGCAGCTTCTCCCTTCTGTCATAAACAGTTAATTAACTAATTAGGTTCAACCAAACAGACCATATTGTCTCTGATTAAGTTCATTGAACTGTTCAGTCCATCTCATTGTGGGTTCATTTTTAGCCCATCTTAATAATCTGAACTCATTTAGGCTTCAATTCCATGCATAGGATACTGGTGCTTTCCAAGTAATGGGGGGCTTCACATATGGCTCAATTGCTGTGAAAAGTGTTTTTCCATAATGAATCTGAGAGTAAATTTTTCTGTTGACTTTTGGATAGTAATTTCCAAATTCAATCATTTTAGTTATGCTATGTTTGGTGTTGGATTTATAAAGGGGAAATGGGGTGTGGGTTGTGAATTAGCTTGAACTTCATCTCCTCCCCCGGCCCCGATTGATCACATGCACACAAATCTATATAATTTCCAAATTGAAGTGTTTGGTGCACACTGTTTTGTGCTTGTCTGCAGTTCTGTTTGCTGCATAATTATCTTACCAACTCCTGCACCTTTATGTTTGATTTCTTGTGCAGTGCATATTTGAGTTTTTGAGCCAAAGATGTTTTCGGATTATAGCGAACCCATTACTGCTGATGATGCCAAGTTGGATGACGATGTATCTCAAGGACCCACAAAGAGGATTCGAAAACTAACTTCAAAGGTATGGGATGACTTTGTCAAATTTAAAGGACCTAATGAAAATGACATAGCTAGATGTAAGCATTGCAATAGGGAATTTGTTGGAGAGAGTGGGAAAGGGGCTAGTCATTTAAAAAATCATTTGTCGAAGACATGTCTAAGTACTTAAAGGGCCAAATGCACCTAGGAATGCTAGTAAGGCTGTAAATGAATCTACTCCTAAGGCTGCAAATTTTAAATTCAATCAAGAGAGAAGTCGTATGGATTTTTCTAGGATGGTAATATAGCATAATTATCCTTTTAACATGGCTGAGCATGAATTTTTTTAAATAATTCCACATGCCTTTACAGTAGATTGATCGCATGCACACAAATCTATATAATTTCCAAATTGGTGCACACTGTTTTTAAATGAACTCCTGCTCCTTTATGTTTGATTTCTTGTGTAGTGCATATTTGAGTTTTAGAGCCAAAGATGTCTTCGGATTATAGCGAACCTATTACTGCTGATGATGCCGAGTTGGATGACGATGTATCTCAAGGACCCACAAAGAGGATTCGAAAACTAACTTCAAAGGTATGGGATGACTTTGTCAAATTTAAAGGACCTAATGGAAATGACATAGCTAGATGTAAGCATTGCAATAGGGAATTTGTTGGAGAGAGTGGGAAAGGGACTAGTCATTTAAAAAATCATTTGTTGAAGACATGTCTAAGTACTTAAAGGGCCAAATGCACCTAGGAATGCTAGTAAGGCTGCTTCTGAATCTACTCCTAAGGCTGCAAATTTTAAATTCAATCAAGAGAGAAGTCGTATGGATTTTTCTAGGATGGTAATATAGCATAATTATCCTTTTAACATGGCTGAGCATGAATTTTTTTAAATATTTTGTAATAATCTTCAACCAATGTTCAAACTTGTTTCTCGTAACACTGTTAGAGCGGATGTCCTTGATGTTTATGAAATAGAAAAGGCCAAGTTATATCAATTTTTGGATGAACTCTCTTCTAAGATCACTTTGACAACTGATATATGGACTTCAGACCATCAGAATTTTGCTTATACATGTTTGACTGCTCATTATGTGACTAATGATTGGGAGTTAAAGAAGAAAATCCTTGCTTATAGACGCATTGATTACCCGCATGATGGAGACCATTTGTTTAGTTTTATCAAAGATCTAATTTTAGAGTGGAACATAGATAAGAAGTTGTTTTCAATGGTAGTCGATAATGCAATGAGTAATGATGTCATGGTGAGATTCTTAAAGCGATGGCTACATGACCAAAGATTACTATATTTGGGTGGACAATTGTTTCATGTGCGTTGTAGCACGCACATATTGAATTTAGTTGTTCAGGATGGTTTGAAGGTGATTGAGAGTCTTATTTCAAAAATCCGAGAAAGTGTGAGATATTTAGGGAGGTCTCCTTATAGAAAACAAAAATTTGTTGTTGTAGTGAATCATGTTAAGTTGCATCATAAAAAGAAAGTCCCCATGGATGTTCCTACCAGATGGAATTTGGGTAGACAATTGTTTCATGTGCGTTGTAGCGCGCACATATTGAATTTAGTTGTTCAGGATGGTTTGAAGGTGATTGGGAGTCTTATTTCAAAAATTCGAGAAAGTGTGAGATATTTAGGGAGGTCTCCTTATAGAAAACAAAAATTTGATGTTGTATTGAATCATGTTAAGTTGCATCATAAAAAGAAAGTCCCCGTGGATGTTCCTACCAGATGGAACTCCACTTGTTCAATGCTTGATGCTGCATTAGATTTGAAAAGTGCATTCCACCGCTTAGGGCAAATTGACAAACAATATAAGCACAATCCTTCTGAGGATAAGTGGAATGTAGCAAATGTGATTTGTGGGTGCTTGAAGATTTTTTTTGATGCTACATCTCACTTTAGTGGTACCACTTTTTCGACTTCAAATGTGTTTTTTCCCGATATTTGTCTTATTCAACTTGAAATGAAAAAATGGGAGCAAAGTGAGTATGATTGCATTCGATTGATGGCCGGTTCAATGAGAGTGAAATTTCAAAAATATTGGGAAGAATGTTCTTTGGTGTTAGCAATTGCAGTGGTTCTCGATCCGAGATTTAAAATGGACTTGGTGGAGTACTACTATGGGCTTATTTATGGTGCTGATGCTAATAAGCATATTCAGAGGGTCCGTAATGGTTTTGTTGATCTTTTTTATGAGTATAGGAGTGATTCTTCTGATTCTATGAGTTGCATTGCCCTTGTTTCTGAAAATAGTAGCTCAAGTGGTAGTCAATTGCATGCGGGTTCTTCGAAACAAGAAAGTTTGGCTGCTTTTCATGCGTGGTATTCCCAAGAACGTGCTTCTAACATTCATGCCTATCAAAAATCAGAGGTGGAGCAATACTTGGAGGAGTTGGTGTTTCCAAGTAATGAGAGCTTCAATATTCTACATTGGTGGAAAGTGAATAAAGCAAAATTTCCAACTTTGGCAAGGATGGCTCGTGATGTTTTAAGTGTTCCAGCCACTACGGTTGCATCAGAGGCGGCGTTTAGTGTAGGAGGTAGGGTGATTGATGAGACACGTGCTTCATTACTTCCAGATATTGTGGAGGCCTTGATCACTTGCAATGATTGGATTGAATCAACCAAAAATATTAGTAAGTGAAGTATTGAAGTTTTTAAATAATTAGATGTTCTTTAGTTTAGTTCTACAAATATCTTAATTTCACATTATTTTGAAATTGCAGATGTAGAAGAATGCTGACATGAATAGATGGATTGAATTGAATCACTTGGTTTGTCATTTTCAACTTTTGTTTATGTTATCTTAAGCTGAACTTTTGTTTTTTGTTTTCTGTTATCTTAAACTAAACTTTTGTTTTCTGTTAGGAGAAGTTATCTTAAGCTGCAGCCTTGTCACTGTCACATATAGGTCAGTATATTTCTCATCTCTGCCTTTTACAATATGGGTTTTTTCATTGAATCATATCTGTTAGGAGAACTTTTGTTCTTTCTTTTTGTTTTTGTCCCCTGCTCTTTTGTGCTCTCATGTTAAAGATTCCTTCACTTTTAGCATTTATTTTTCTAATTTGAAGGGTTGGGTAGCAGAGTTTCTGCCATTATCTCTTGGGATATGCCATTATCTTAAAGTTTAAGATATATGTCAATTCCAATTATATACATTTATTAGTGTTCCATAGTTGTTTTTCTTGACTGCTTTTCTTTCATGGCTTGTGTTGTTTTCTCTATGCAAGTTGAATCATTGGAATCGACAATTGAAGCTTTAATGACTAAGAACTCACTACAACTATCTTTTTTTTTACTCTGTTGACAACACAACATTGCTTTTGGCAGTTTGTTATCCAATTACAGTGTCCTGTTTTTGATCTAGCAAATTTAGAAGAGGAGAAGAATATGCTGAAAATAAACTATTTACATAATCAACCTTGTCAGATTGAGGCATAGTCTGTTCTGTTGTCTCTCCCTTCAAATTTTTTGCATTTTCGATGACCTTTTCTGTCTGTTGTTCTTCTTCACGGTTGTATTCTGTGACAATTAATTCGGTTGTATAGGTTGTGGTTTTGTCTATTATTGAATCCTCTCAATTACCTTGGAAAATGCTGTAGTAATGGTGCTTCTTGGGAAACCCTTCCTTTTCATGACCTTTAATTTCAATTTTTCCTTGTGTGCAATATGTTGTCTCAGGAAGATTTCCAATTTTATCAAATCTACAGCTACTTTCATGTTCATTTTTCTATTTGATGACAAAATGCATAATTTGCTTACATTTTGTTGTTGGGATTTATGCATGTGTAGTGGACTTTCATACATTTATTTTCTACACACAAGTAATCACCAATGGCAAATACAAGAGTGTGCTTCACAGAGTCATAGTACAAACAGGTGGAAACAGGATGTCCATAATTTCAATTTTTCCTTGTGTGCAATATGTTAGCCTAGGAAGATTTCTAATTTTATCAAATCTGCAGCTACTTTCATGTTCATTTTTCTATTTGATGACGAAATGCATAATTTGCTTACATTTTGTTGTTAGGATTTATGCATAATTTGCTTACATTTTGTTGTTGGGATTTATGAATTTGAGTTTTGGTCTGTTCAATCTTGATCTCATCCCACTGTCTGAATCTGCATCTGATTACTCAACCTTGGTCTACAAGGGCTGTGTAAAACAAAAATTATCAAATCCAACTGGGGTTTGCTCACAAGCAATCTCAACACTTTATGCGTCTCTGATTTCACAGTCCAATGCCAAGTTCTTCAAAACCACCACTGGTAGTGGCTATGGCTGCTAACCCCACACACACAGACACATACACACATAGAGAGTCAGATTGGATTATACGGATCGGATATCTGTTTAACACGGATCGGATCGGATTGTAAGTAGTCGAATTTTTAATAATCGGATTCGGATCCGGATTAATGGCCTGTCAATGGATCGGATCCGAATAAAAGGGCTTTGGATTGGAATCTTTTATTCTTGGGTCAATTGTACAATCTACCATTCTTTCCCTCATAACTTGTTTCTCTGATTTGCAAAAGCAGGTTCATAGTTCAAATCTACTCCTCCCTTTCTTTATAATTATCAGTTATATTTCCTATTGGGCAATTATTAAGGCGGTGTCTGGAAAGTTTGTTTTTTGATTTTTTTTCACTAAAAGACAAATTGGTTATAAAATCAAAAAAATAAATAAATAAATCCAAACAAAATATCACATCGAGCTTCTCTCTCTACCCTTTTCTTCTTCTTTTGAGAGCTTCTCTCTCTACCCTTTTCTTCTTCTAGGGTTTCGTTTTGAGCGCCGTTGGGGGTGGGGGAGGGGGGCTCCGGCCTCTGGCCACCTCTCCCTTCCTCTCTACCCCCTTTCTCTTCCGTTTTTCTCTGCCATTGTCTGATCAATAAGCTTTGGAAGCTTGGCTTTCCATCTTCTCCCTCCTTGTGAGGTGTGTTTCCCCTTTTGGTGGGTGTACAGTTTGTCTTCCTTCACTCTGCCTCACTCCAGCCGTAGCCCTCCCTAGACCCGCCGTCTACCTTCTTTGTGCTTCACACCAGCATCGCCAACACCACATCGACCCCAACTCTGCCACTTCTCGCTGGATCTGCTGCCTCCACACATCGACCTCCTCGATTTTGGCTTATAGGAGCTCATGTACAAGCCCATGGTGGAAGTGTGCTACCCACTGGTTTGAGGTGGAGTCTTGGTTTTTTGTTTTGTTTTTTGGTTTGGTTTTGCCTATTGAATCCATCCGTGCTTAATGATGCTTACCCACTTTGTGGTTGTATTCTATGATGTATTCTCGTCATCCTCTACGGCCATTTGTTGGCCTCTGTTTGCGGTACGAGCACAAGTACTTGTTGTGCAGCTGGGTTTTCTTCATAGTTTTACTCCTATATTTTCTTTGTTTCTCTTTTTTCCTTTGATGGTGTAAGTTTTTTTGGGATGGATTCTCTTATTGTAAGTGCCGTTTGGCTACTTTAATGATATTCCTCTTCTGATCAAAAAAAAAAAAAAAAAATGGTTTCAAAACCAAAAAAAAAAAAAAAAACAAAATATCATATCAAATTCCATAATCATTTAACTTTTTCTTTCACAAACATCACATCCAATCACAAAAAAATTCAACTATCTTCCCAAACACAAAAAAAAAAAAATTCTCCAATAATATCCTACAACTAAAAAAACTTGTAAAAAAAACTCACTTCCCAAACACCCACTAAGTGTGCAAGTGCATATCTTATGTACTTGCGTAAATTCTCACAAATATATGTAAGTTACTTTACAAAATCGCGTAAGTTTTGACAAACATATGCAAGTTTACTCATAAAAATTTGAAAAATTACAACTTATGTATATTTGTGAGAATTTACACAATTTTATGAAATAACTTATGTATATTTGTGAAAATTTATGTAAGTGTATATGGTATGCACCTTACATATCTAAACACTTTCCTTTTTTGTTTGGTTGTCTAGAAGGCCAAAGAAAATAGGGAGAGAAGTAGATGAAATCCCAACTTGAATGACGAAGTGAATTTTGGTATGGATTTTGCAGGCAAACAATGCAAGGGATAGAATATTTGAACTGAGATAGGAAGGAGGATATTCTGCACAGAACTGACTGAATTTATCAAGCCCAAGGAAACAAAATGCTTATGAGTTGTTCATTGCGAGAAAAAAGAGAGGTGTTATTTCAATTTCAAGATTCCCTTGGTTGGGGTTCCACAAAAGTTGTTGCTAATTTGTGTTGTATGTGTATATAACATCTTATCAATAAAAAATAATTTTTTTTATTTTTATTTCCTAAAACTATTCATCGTGTTTGATTTTGAATTTAAAAAAAATAATTTTTAGAGCTTTCAAGTTGTATTTTTATATTTTTAATAATTTTTAAAAATATTTTAATCAAGTTCTTTTACTTGTTAAATATACTTAACCTAGATACATTTTAAGAGTATAATAGTTATGAAAAAAAATCTTTAAAAAAATTCACAAAATACAAAAAATATCTATATAAAAATTCAGTATATTTGTGTATTTATTGAATTTTTAAAATATTTTTTCACAAATATTTTACTTTTTATGCGCACTTAGATTAGGTGCATCTAAAAAATAAAAAAATAATGTAAAATATTAAAAAACTCACTAAAAAAAAAACAAAAAACTTAATTTTCGCAAAGGAAAATGTTTAAAACTCACAAAATACCTTCACAATTGTATCCACAATGATGTGGTATTATATTTGTCAATTTTTTTTACAAATATTATATTTTTTAAGTATATTTAGATTAGGTGTATTTAAAAAATAAAAAAATTACTTCAAATATTTTTAAAAAAGTACTAAAAATAAAAAAATAAGACTTTTTTTTTAAAAAGTGAACTCAATTTTCTAAAATAAAACATGGTGATTGTTATTATTCTCTTGTGTGTCTTATTTCTTATGTATTTATTAGGATTTTTTCTCTCACTTTGAGAACTTCTTTGTATTGATTATATATATATATATATATATTATGTTTAATCTTCATTATTATTATTATAATTCATTACGATTCATTGTAATATCTTATATGAATCAAATCAATAAAACAAAATCTATTATTGTTATTATTACTATTTTTTATCATTAGACAATACAAATTATAACTTTAAATAAAATAATTTAATATTTAATGATAAAAGTTATAAAAAGAACATATATAGACTTGCACTTATTAATTCCTATAATATAAATTTATAAAAATGAAAGTTATTTCGCTCATTTGATAATTGATAATTTTAGTTTACTTTTTGATCTTTTATCAAAAGACTTTCAAAAAAAATAATAATAATAATATGATAACTCATAGTAATTTTTTAATTATTTTACTCAATTGACAAATGATATCTTATTATATTTAAATTAAATAATCATAATTGTGTGTTTTACCTAGATTATGGTCCCGTAATATTGTTGTCGTTATATTAAGACGATAGAATTCAATCCATTCATTCATTTAGCTAATACCTAAATGCAAGTTTTGACAATGATTAGTGTTGAGAAAAGTTCAGGAATTGGTGGTACAATTCAAATGGCACCAACTAATATATCGATTTATGTGCCAGAGCCTTTTTGGGAATTTAATTTTTTTTAGCCTCTGTTTGGCAAGATGGTTTTCAGATTTTTTTGGCTATTTTAGCCACAAAAAACAAAATAGACTATTTTAGCCATAACAAACAAAACATCACATCCAACCTATAATGATTACATTCTTCTCTCACAAAAAAAGTCAAAAAAGCCAAAAAGCCCTTCCCAAACCAAGCTTTTTAGCCCAGGCTAAAATAGCCAAAAAAGCCAAAAAGCCAAAAAGCCAACCTACTTCCCAAACCAAGCCTATATAATTGTTACACTTTAAAAAAATTAATTTTTCAAAATTACCTTTTGATAGTATTTTTTTTTTTTTGAGAATATCAATATCATAATTATACTTTTTATATTGTTTATGAATATAAAACAAGAGAAAATAAGAAATTTATATTATTTTTGTATTTGATTTTTGAAGAGTGACTGATATATTGGGGTAATAAAAAATGAAATAGAGGACTAATATTTTGAGACGGAAGGAGTATAAGTTCTAATTTTTAGGGGTTGTTTGGGATGACCTAAATAAGTGTACTTTTTGTCTTTTTACGAAAAGATGTTCAAAAAAATAAATAAGTGATGTGAGGAAAAAAAGTTAAAAAAATAAAAAGATGGATTATTTGAAGTATGGCAAACTTAGCCTTATTATGATAAGATTTTGTTTTTTAATTATATATTTTAATTAAAAAATTAAAATATTATTATAAATTATCACAACATTACTTTTATTTTTTATACATTTTTTTTTTTATAGAAAGTTGAAATATTACTAAAACAATTTGTTTTCAGCTGCCCTACTGATATAAGTTCCTCATTATATTTCTGGTTGGTAGGTACTAGACGACATTGGCCCTGTTTGGTACAGCTTAATTTCAGCTTATTTCAGCTTTCAGCTTAATTTAAGCTATTTTGATTTGTTTGGTTCAACTTAACAATACAGCTTATAACTTTTTGTAAGTCAAAAATCAATTTATTCTTTGAGTGGAGAAGGAAAAATTTAATTTATAAGTAAAAAATTAGCTTATGTTCACAAGTATAAGGTATAAGCTGTTAGATTATAAGTTATAATCACTTTCCTACAACTCTACCCTACGGAGCCAATATTATCTAATTCAGTGTTTTTTTTATTTTATTATTATTATTATTATATTTTTTTTTTGGTGAATGTTTGCTATGAAGTTTAGAGGAATCAACCCTAATCTTTAATAGAAGTACTTTCATTTTTGTCCCATGTTTAGTTGAGTTGAAAATTTCAAAAGCTAGATTGGTAATTAGGATGGAAATATTTTTTTTTTAAAAAATAATTTTTTAGGATTTAGTATTTTTGTGTTTTTAATTCCCTTTTCACAAGTTTATGTTTTCTTTTCCCTCCCCCCCCGCCCCCCCTTTCCCCCTTTTTTTTTCATTTTTTTATTTCCATTGATTTTTTTGGTCTATATTGGATATATGATGTTTCTGATTCCTGTATATGTGGCTGCTTATTTCCCAAATGGTTTCATGGTTTGTAACTTTGTATTAGGTTCTAAGGAATTGTGAGGACATGATATTGTAGGAAAGGAATCAGAAATAGTTTTGAATTTGAAATTTCTATTTTTAATACAATTTTATTTTCTCTAGAAGCAACCTTTGTGACAATGAACTTTCTTCATGCTAGCTTGTGAAATTTCCTTGCTTTTTCTAGTAATCCCAATTCTGATTAACAATTATAGATGTGACATAATTTATATATATCTCGGTCTCAGTATACTATATATACGAAAGATGTCTACTTCAGATGTTGACTTTAGTTTTTGGATAGAAGTTCTGAACAGATCACTGATTGTTTTTTACTGCTTGGTGGTATTTGATTCACTTTCATTTGCATGTGTCGAAACTTTTTTATGAATTGTATTATGAGTAAAGCATAAAATATGATGAGTTTACTTTCAAACTTTATGATGGAGTCATGTGCTTCTGACCTCTAATTTCTGAGTTCAATGGAGTTGTCAGACTAGAACACAGATTGTGATTCTTAATTTGAAATAGTTAAACTGCTTCAAACCAAGTTGGTAAGATAAAAAAATTGTTAACTGAACTTCAGCTAGGCTTAGTTTGGCTGCATATTAAATTCATGAACTTTGGTACCATATAATATATGTTTTAATTCTTCTTCTTCCTTTTGCTATTTTCATGTCACTTATCCTTGATTACAGGGAAATCTTCTTCCCATGCTTTTAAATTTATCACTTGCCATACATTTTTGAAGATCCAACAATAGCTATGTTCCTTTCTTGTTGGTTGTTGAAGCAGAATTAACGCAGGAGAGGTTGATGGAAGAGCCTCTGTGGCAAAAGAATGAGGAGAGGAAATTGGTGCCAACATCAATGGCATTTGTGGAAGAGCTGAAGAAGGTGAGCCACATAGCAGCGCCGATGGTGGTGGTGACAATGTCACAATACCTCTTGCGTGTTGTACCAATGATAATGGTGGGGCACATCAGTGAGCTCTACCTTTCCAGTGCTGCAATTGCCACCTCTGTCACCAATGTTTCCGGCTACAGTGTTGTTGTAAAGTTTTCTTTCTTGTCCTTCAAGTTCAGTTAGTACTGCTATCTACAACAATAATTTACATCCAATAGAACTTTATGTGCACTAGAAAGTATTAGCTTGATCTTTTGGAATTGTATCCAGGCCTATCTATTTAATTGAATTAGTTAAAATGTGCCAGGTACAAATTTGCCTAATCGTGTAAAAATTTTGTCACAAAGTATAACTAATTGAATAGTAATTTGTTTATTATGCAGTTTGGAATGGCTAGTGCATTGGAAACTCTATGTGGGCAAGCTTACGGCGCAGGTCAATATCGGAAGCTGGGAATTTATACTTATGGAGCAATTCTCTCTCTCATTCTGATTTGTATACCAATATCTCTTCTTTGGGTCTTCATGGTCAAACTACTCGTGTTCTTTGGCCAAGACCCTTCAATTTCAGTGGAAGCTGGAAAATACTCAATTTGGCTCATTCCATCACTGTTTCCTTATGCCATTCTTGAATCACTGGTTCCTTATTTGCAAACTCAGAGTTTGATCCTTCCAATGCTCTTATGCTCGCTTGTAACTTTATCTTTCCATATGCCTCTTTGTTGGGCTTTGGTATTTAAGTTTGAATTAGGAACTGAGGGAGCAGCGTTGGCAATTGGTTTATCGTATTGGGTAAATGTGATCTTGCTAGGGATTTACTTGAAGTATTCTCCAGTTTGTGAAAAAACCCGTGCTTCCTTCTCAAAGGATGTTTTCCTAAGCATTGGGGAGTTCTTATGCCTGGCTCTTCCTTCTGCTGGAATGGTTTGGTATTTCTGTTAATCCAATTCAGCTCTTAGTCAAGCGTTTTTTAAGTATCGTTTGGCCCCTGATATTTCCTTTTCATGCAAATGTACAGTCTTGAATGGTGGTCATTTGAACTGGTCATATTGTTGTCTGGGCTTTTATCAAACCCAGAACTTGAATCTTCTGTTCTTTCAATATGGTATGCTTCTTCTCTATGCTTGTAAATTGGATTATATGGGTTTTTACAACAGAATTACATATGATTTTTTTTTTTTTTTAAATTTTTATTTTTTTATACCATATTTGCAAGCAGCCTTACAACTACTTCATTGCACTACCTCATACCATATTCTATTGGTGCCGCTGCAAGGTTTGCTTTAAAACTGTATTCTAGAGCATAGAACCTTACTTCTAATTTTTGACACTTATCAACGTACTTATATGTATATTTAATGTTACTGAAATGAGTACATTGACCATTTTTGTAGCACTAGGGTTTCAAATGAGTTAGGAGCTGGGAATCCACAGGCTGCTCGACTGGCTGTTTGCACTGTAATGGTTCTTGCAGTTGCAGAGGCAATTATTATAAGCACAATTCTGTTCTGTTGCCGCTTTGTTCTGGGATACGCATACAGTGAGGAGAAGGAAGTTGTGGACTATGTCAAAGAAATGACTCCTCTTGTTTGTTTCTCAATCACCATGGACAGCTTACAAGCAGTACTATCCGGTTATTTTCTTACCTCCCCATATTGAGCTATGTTCATTCAAACAATTATAATATCTATGGGAGCAACATATATGAAAGACCCCTAAAAAAAGTGCAACTGTATTACTTCTGAGAAAAAAGTATACATTAATCAAATTACATGATGGGAATGACCATTTTTTTTCAGACGCAAAGAATAACTTGTGTGACAGTTTGGGCTATTGAGGATAACTGCAAAGATTTAAGTCATAAATGTTATAAACCATTATGGTTGGATGATTTTGGGACACTGTAAAGATCTTAAATCCTTCTGGTTATGAACTTATTGCTAGGCATAAAACCATTATTTGGTTGTGGACTATGATGAACTGGTACAATATCATCTAATCCTTCGGATAAAGTACTGTTACTTGTTGCTTTATAACACAGCCTATGCTGTTTATTTCTTGAACAGGGGTTGCCAGAGGAAGTGGGTGGCAGCATGTTGGAGCCTACATCAATTTTGGGGCATTTTATCTGATTGGAATACCAGTAGCTATTGTATTGGGTTTTGTTCAACATTTAAGTGGAAAGGGGATTTGGAGCGGAATAGCAACAGGGTCGACAGTGCAAGTCATTTTGCTTTCTTCTGCAACATGCCTAATTAATTGGCAAGAAGAGGTTGGTTTGTTTTTGAATTTTTCTGTGTTTTATATATAATGTAATCTCCTTCATTGCAGCCATGTTGGTTCCTAAAACTAAACAAGGTTTTTATTTTTATTTTTAATATGCAATTGCAGGCAACTAAGGCAAGGGAAAGGATATTTAATTAAGGGGAGATTTGTGGCTGACAATGAATTGATCAGTTGAACGCTCAAATCTTAATTATGTTACTCAGCAACTGTTTTTCCTGGTACCATTTGAGACTTGTAAGTTAACAACTTTTGTTCCGCGGATCCACTTTTTTCAAGTTTTGATATGAGAGAGAGAGAGAGAGAGAGAGAGAGAGAGGTCATATTACCAAAATGATTCTTTTGTGCTTTAGATAGAATTTTAACTCGCTTTGTAGTTAATCAGAGAGTCCTTATCAGAAACACTAATTATAACCGTACAAGGTTATTTTGGATGAGATTTTCTACTCTTTTATTTTTTCTTGAATTGCTAAGAAATATAGATCTCTAATTGAAATGAAAGAGTGGGAAGAATTGACTTACTCTCTCGATGACATTTCATTTAGAACCATAATTTTAAATATCAATATCCAAACATATATTATATCAATAATATATTTATACTAGTGGTGTAAATTATGTTAGAATGAAAATACAATTGTAATTTATACGTATCATATTGAACTTTGATAAAGACACTGAAATAACATAAATAAATATTATTCTTCTTAAAAAACTTCTATCAATTTTACTTATACCACACATTCTACAAAATTGAAATAAAAATAACAACATATTACAAATCAAAATAGTGAAAGCATACCTGTTAGGTAAGTTAAGAAAAAATTGTAATCACTAAACAAAACACACAAATTAAAATTATTGTACACTTGTTAATGCTATATAATCTTTAAAAAAAAAAAAAAAACACAAAATAAAGCACACATGCAAGTGTTATGCGATCTCAATAAATTAAATTGAAAATTAAACATCAAACAATGCGCACCAGCCTATACTTTGCAATTCCAAACAAATTAAATAAATCAATGCACACCAACCAGTGCTCTACAATCTATAAAAAAATGAATGCACACCAACTAATATTTTACAATCTTTAAAAAAAAATTAGTTAAATTAAACACTAAACAATGCACACCTGCAAGTACTACTGTTACCAATCAAATTATAACCACATAAGTAAAAAAAAAAAAACATTATATTGCCATGCACCCAAGTCGATAATATATGTATGCTTTACAAAAGAGTCAGTTAAAACTTTACAAAATATGTGTATGCTTCAACCTAAAAAAATCCAAAATTTAATTTAAATACTTAATTGGTTATAATCAAGATGAGAAGAAATAAAAATTAAAAAACACATAAAAAAATGCAAACATTAAGAGTAGGGAAACAATTATCTACAAATTAAGAAAACACTAAGATGCTCATATTTATGAATTTAGTATACAAAATCTAGTATGTTTTTCTAAACATGCCATGATCATTAATAATAATTATGTTTTTAATAATAATAAAAAAAACATAATTTGTGATCAAGTTAAATGTAAATAAGCTATAAAAACACATACAAAATATATCTCTCTACGACAAATTGGACATTTTCAAAAACTTTCACTTGTACATTCGGTTGAATTTATTTGGATAATAAAACCATTGGTAAATAATTGTCATGGATAGAAATAATTAAGATATAAACATTTAAAATAATAATTAAGGTAATAGTAATAAAAAAACATAAAAAAAGGGCTTACCTTGCAATTTTCATGAAAAGCTTGGTAGAAATTTATAAAAATATAAACATTACGAGTACGAAAATAGTTATTTACAAATTAGGGAAACAATGAGATACTCATATTTAGTAGGGACAAAAGTCCCACTTAGGCAAAATTTATTGTGTTTTTCTAAACATGCCATGATCATTAATGATGATACAGCGTGTTCTAGATGGAACAGGTCGGATTGATCCATACTTCTCTAACTAGTGCCCGAGGTACCAAGCCCACCGGAAGACTTGCACAAGAGTTCAACGGGGAACGGAGAGTCACCCAACGAACCCACCGACGAGCAAGTTAGAAAGAGAGATGGAATGTAGAGATAGATTAGAGATAAAAAGCTTAACTTTCTTCTTGTCTTTGCCGTCTGCTTATATCCTCTGGTAATCATTTCGTTGTCCCTTCCGATCTGTCATCTTGGCTGAAAGTCTATGCTCTAACTTGCCTTGTTCATGGTGAGGCCGTTCTGTCTCGACAGGGAGGGGTTATCACAATAAATGCTGTAAGGGATTTCATTAATGGTTGATGTGCAGTGCAATAATTTTGCAGGATCTTTGTTTGCTTATGTGGCTTGTTCTTCTCTTACCACGTGTTCAGATGTCATTGGTTCTTAATGCCATGTAAGTTGCAGCAACGCAGGGCCTTAGTATTTGAATTATGTATTGGGCCCTAAGTGGTGGGTTATAACCTTTATGGGCTTACCCATGTCAGTAGTCCCCCATTCCCAAGTGTAGCTTTAGTCCAACGAAGGGAATAATGAAGAAGACGATGGTTGTGAAAGACCGACCGCGATGGGTGGCCGAACAGAGGGGCCGACCCTGATAAGGGGCAACTGCGAAGGGTGGCCGAGTGGAGGGACCGACCATGAGGAGGGCCGACCGCGAAGAGTGGCCGAGTGGTGGGACCGACCATGAGGAGGGCCGAGCGTGAAAGGTGGCCGAGTGGTGGGATCGACCATAAGGATTGCCGACCGCAAAGGGTGGCCGAGTGGAGGGAGAAGTAGCGGTGCGCGGCGCTTGAGGAGTGGCAGGGCACGTGGTGATTTGAAGTGGAAAAGACAGGGTAGGAGAAGGGGGCAGTGGATCGTGGTCGTACACGTGGCAGGATCCCGTGATGGGGAAGGTTAGGCGTTGGGCAAGAAATGAAAGGGTAGTTTAACATAGGGTGTTGAAAAGACAGTTTTGGCAAATTTTTTGAAAATTTTCAAGCTGGCAAAATTTAATTGTGACCCTTGGAATATAGGCAAGGCTTGGGCTTTTGGTGTTATCCGCTTTACCTATCTTTTTGCAGAAAATCAAAACGTTCCAGAAGTAAACTCTTTCGTTTCCAATGAGACACCCTTGCAACACTTTGTGAATTTTCTTGTGCCCGCATCCGAAGCCATTCGCAGATACACAAGAGAAATGACCCAAGAGGAAGCAGCAGCCGCAAGGGTTGATCCGTTAGGCAACGACGATGCGGTGGATTTGCCAGAACAATATCGTACGGAGTGAAGGAAGGGGTAGGTAGCGACTTAGGAGGTGCGGGCTCGCCTCAGGACAATGATTGCAACCGCGAGACCTATTAGTCAGGTGGAGCCGGACCACTGGCACACCAAACCGGATAAATCCATACTTACGGCAGAGGAGTTGGAGGGGATAAGGAGGAGGTACCAAATTCCCTCGGAGATAGGGTCAAGATTGTCCACATCCAAGAAAAGGGCGTCGGACATGCGGCCGAATGAATTCAGCTTGTACGAGGAAGCGTTGCGAGGGGTTTTAAGGCTACCTCTCTCCCAAATAGTGGTGGATGTGCTAAACAAGTTAGAAGTGGTGCCAGGGCAGCTGATGCCAAACGCTTGGAAGATAGTAGTGGCCTACGCAAGTGCCTAGCTACAGGCGACCGGAGGGACGGTGATGACAGTAGAGGAGTTCTTCTCCTGCTACAAGGCCTCCGGCAGCAGGAGACTTGGGTGACTTTGCAAGCAGTGGCGGGGAGAGGGCTGGTGGCGAGTCTTTCATCTTCGGTAAAGGGGTGGAGGCCGAGATGGTTCTTTGTGACGGCGAACGGTGGGGCAGGAGTTTGCACGACGTGGAAGGTCCCCACGAAATCGGTCGAGCCCAAGTTGGACCAGGCGGCCGAAGACCAAGTAAAAAAGGTGAGGGAATGGAGGGAAAAGAAGGGAGTGAGGTGGGACGAGCTGGTCCTTCCCTCAACGTTGTTTGCCCTGAACTTGGGACCGCAACCTTTGGGGGAGGATCCGGCAAGGGAGCAGTTGGAGGTACAGAGGAGGGCAGAGGAGGAGGAGGAAAGAAGATTGTTCGCCAGAGCGAACAAGTATAAAGAGGCAAAGTTGGGGCCTGCTCCGAAACCGATCGCAAGGGAGCGAGTCCGACCGCGCCCCAAGCCGTTGGGGGGGAAGGATCTGAGTGGTTTTGAGCCACGACCACCTCCAGTCGATCCTCTGAAGAAGAAGAAGAGCAAAAAGGAGGTGGAGGCTGTGTTGAAGAAGAAGAAAAGAGTAAGGGAAAGGGAGAAAGAGAGGAGGGGCCAGCCCTGAAGAGAACAAAGGAGGTGATGGCAAAGGAGACCCCCGAAGTGGGACTAGAGGAGGCGGCGAAGAGGGTGTAGAGTGGGGCGACTATCCCTGAAAAACGAGTGGAGGATGGGGTGACTGACCCTTTGGAGGGGGCAGAGCAGCAGCCCAAGCGGGGTCCTGTGCCCCAAGAGGAAGAGAGGGCCAGGCTGAAGACCGCCTTTTACCACGCCCCAGCAGTGTCCGGGTGACTAGAAGGAGAAGGAGGAGAAGTCAGGATTGCTGCAGATCACCTCTTAAGAGTAGTGAAAGACGCGATCGTGCGTTCGATGGCCAGTTTCACTGAGACCGAGCTGCTAAGGGGGTTATGCTCTGCCCAAATGGAGGCAACTGCCTTAGCAAGAGCCCTACTAAACAAGGCGGCGACTGCAAAAGGCGAAGTGAGACCACTGAAGGCAAAGTTGGAGGAGGTGGAGGCCCAACTTGAAAGTTTGAGGAGGGAGACTGTAGGGTGGAGGAAGACCGCGCGGAGTGCGTGTGTCAGGGGGCTGGAAGAGGCCCAGAAGGCCAAGAAGATGGAGGTGTTGGCGGTGGTGTAGGGCAATTCAGCCGACCGTGCCCATGCTGAGCTGCTCGCAACCAGGTTGGAGCTGGAGACGGAATGCCGCAAGGTGGTGTCGCTTTCCTTTCAACTGGCTGGCGAGCAGAAGAAGCTGGAAGAGGCCTAGAAAGCCTGCACCGTCGCCAACGAACGGTGGGATGAGGCAATGACTTGCAACAAAGATCTGCGCGCTCAGTCGATCAAAGAAAAAGAAGAAACAGACCTGAAGATCGCTGAACTGGAGAGGGTGTTGGTAGATGAGCGGGCCAAGTCAGTGGCGGAGAAGGCGGGGTTGGAGAAGGCCTTGGAGGAAGAAAAGGCCAAGTTGGCATCTGAAAAGGCGGCGTACCCCAGTCTATGTGTTGCAGCAGTAGAGCAGTTCAAGGGATCCGCCGACTTTCAGATGGTCATTGATGTCGCGATCGCCAGCATCTTGGCGAGAGAGGGGGATAGGGGGGCTGGCCCGTCGGGAGCGACCACTGGGAGCCGGAGCGAAGAGGAAGTGATCTAAAGCTTCCAGCGATCGAACTTCTATATGCATGAGATGGCTG